CTCTGCACACAGGCTGAGTGGGGCCACCTCAGAGGTGATGGCAAACAGAGTAAGCAATAGAACTACATGCTTGTGTACTGAACCCTACCCCGGGCATCATGGGAGGGAGCCCCTGCTTTCCCAGCCTTGGTTCCAGGGAGTCAGGGCCTTCATTTCCAGCATTGCCTGTGTAGAAGGAAAAGCAGGCTAATTCCCTTACCCCATAACTGTCCAAAGTGAGTGGGATAGCAACAGCTCTGCAGCCTCAGAATCATCCCCTCATCTCAGAGCCCAACTGACTAATGCAGCCTGAATTTACCAACTCTACTGCTGTTTTATTTATCCCCATATATACTTCTCACCCAAAATCTTTATAAATGATTCCCTCTCCTTCACTTTCTCTGTTCTTTCTTTCTGAAACTTGTGTTCAATGGACATTGGACCTCATGGGTTATCTAATTTCTTTTTTTTTCCTGTTTCTCATCTCTGTGGTGCTGTTTTATTTTTATACTTCTGTCTGGGAAATTTCTAAAACTTTGTCTCCCAGTACTTATATGGGATTTTTAAATACCCGCTATCATATTATTAATCTGTGGCTTTTTCTCTATTTTCAATTTATCTTTATTATTGAAAGTATTACAAATGTCCCTTTTTTCCCCCGCTGATCTCCTCCACCCTGCACCCCTTCCTCCAGGCCTTCACCACACTATTGTCTGTGTCCATGGATTATGCATATATGCATATAAGTTCTTAGGTTAATCTCTCCCCACTCACCCACCCATCCACCACTGCCTTCTCTCTGAGATTCGTCAGTCTGTTCCATGCTTCTATGTCTCTGGACCTATTTTGTTCATCAGTTTATTTTGTTCATTAGATTCCACATATGAGTAAGATCATGTGATACTTGTCTTTTTCTGACTGGCTTATTTTGCTTAGCATAATACTCTCCAGGTCCCACCATGCTGTCTCAAAGGGTAAGGGATCCTTTGTTTTCAGAGCTGTATAGTATTCCATAGTGTAAATGTCTGAGAAGATGCTTGATATGATTTCAATCTTCTTGAACTTGTAGAGACTTGTTTTTTGTCCTAACATGATCTATATTTGAGAATGTCCCATGTGCACTTGAGGAGAATGCATATTCTGCAGCTTTGGGGTGAAATGTTCTGTAAATGTCAATTAAATCCATCTCATCTAGTGTGTCACTTAGAATGACTGTTTTCTTCTTGATTTTTTGTCTGGAAGATCTATCCTGTAAAGTCAGTAGGGTGTTAAAGTCCCCAGCTATGACTTTATTGCTGTCCATCTCTCCTTTAAAGTCCTACAGAAGTTTTTTCTTATGTGGGTTGTTTGTTTGTTTTTTTGCCTCTGTGGGTCTTTTGTTCTGAGGTGGGTCTCTTGTAGACAACATATATTTTGGTCTTGTTTTTTATCCATTCAGCTACCCTATGTCCTTTGATTGGAGCATTTAATCTCTTTATATTTAAGGTTATTATTGATAGGTACTTATCTATTCCCTTTTTTTTTTTTATTGCCTATGTTTCTCTTTCTATTTCAACTTCTAATTATAGAAGTCCCTTTAACTTTTCTTGTAATGCTGTTTTGGTGGTGATAAATCCCTTTAACCTTTTTTTGTCTGGGAAGCTCTTTATTTCACCATCTATTTTGAATGATAGCCTTGCTGGATAGAGTAGTCTTGGTTTCAGATCCTCGTTTTGCATTACCTTGACTACTTCATGCCATCCCCTTCTGGTCTATACAGTTTCTGATGAGAAATCAACTGACAACCTTATGGGAGCTCCTTTGTAGGTAACATTGCTTTTCTCTTGCTGTTTTAAAGATTCTCTGTCTTGAATTTCTGACATTTTAATTATGCTGTGTCTGGGCATGGGTCTCTTTGGGTTGTTCTCGCTTGGGACTCTCTGTGCCTCCTGAACTTGTGTGACTTTTTCCTGCACCAAGTTAGGGAAGTTTACTGCCGTTATTTCTTCAAACAGGTTCTCTAACCCTTGCTTACTTTCTACATCTTCTGGCACTCCTTTGATGCAAATACTGTTACATTTTATGTTGTCCCACAGCTCCCTTAAACTGTCCTCTTGTTTTTTAATTGTTCTTTCTTTTTGGTTCTCTGAGTGAGTGATTTTTCTCTTCCCTGTCTTCTAATTTTCTGATCTGATCCTCAGCTTTCCTTAATCTACTGTTTATTCCTTCCAACGTATTCTTTATTTCTGCTATGTCATTCTTAATTTCCTTCATAGTATCCATTTCTTTTCTTATGCTGCTGAGCATCCTTAGGATCAGTATTCTGAACTCTCTATCTGAAAAATTGTTTATCTCCACTTCATTTAGTTCTTCTTCTGAAGAATTATTTTGTTCTTTCATTTAGAGCTTTTTTTTTTTTTTTTTTTTTTTTTTTTTTTTTTTTTTTTTTT